CATCTCCCGAACATACTTGAACACGTACTTGCTGTCGTCCGCTAGCTCCTCGGGCATGAGGTCTCGTTCAGTGTCGTCTGCGTCCGAGTCGTTGGGGAGGGCATCGGCATCCATGCGCTGGTAGTCGGCATCGTCGGGATACAACCGTGTAGCGGTAGGATCGAGACCGAGATCGGAAACGGAGCTGTTGGAGATACGCCAAAGGATCTCGCAGAGGAACCTCCAGTTCTCCACGTAGTTCAACGAACGTGTAACCACCGCACCGGAACGATCCCAGCGGACGAAGCGGATCTGTTTGCCGATGACGACGAACATGAACAGAGCGACGCGCTGCTGGACGGCAAAGATGAACTCGGCGTATGAGATGATCTGCCCGCGAACCTTCCTGCGCGTGTCGGTGGAAGTATTGATGTTCTCCTTGGAGTCGTCGAATGGATCGAGCGCGACAGTGTCGCGCTTGAACTCGATAGGGATGATCTGGTCGGCCCAGTGAGGACGACTGTCGGTAGGAGCATCCTTGGCGAGATAGACCGCGGCGTCGACCTTCAGTTTGTACTCTGCATCTTCGGGCTCCCAAGCATCGGGTCTCTCTCCGCATTCCGCGACCTTGAAGCCGGGGATGAGATTGTGCTTATTGATCGCCCGTGTCTGTCATGGCATTACCGTCTTCAGCATGCAACCACGGCACCATTGGAAATCGTAACCACTCACGAATTTTGCGCGAACCTCCGCCTCTTTCATGTTGTCGGCGTCTGCGAGACTAAGAAATGGGTTGGACTTGATCCTCGGCTTCTGGAGGAAGGGAGTCGTAGATGTGGTTGGTGGAGGGAAGAATGCATCGGAGAACTCTTCCTTTTCGGCGAGGACTGCTGCGTGGGCCATGTCGCGTTCGAATCTCACGCGACACTGAGGTAGGTTGTCGCGTCCAAGCTCTCCGCCGAGGGCGTGTGCGTCGCGTACTCTATGGCCGTTGGATAATGGCGTATCTGATTGGATGTGTGTGGGGTGAGTCATGGTCAAGAAGAGGAAAGAGATGAGGCTCACGGAGAAGAGCCTGAGGAGGCGAGCTTTTATAGCGGCGTGGTTGGGGTACTAGGGTCTGTGCGACTCAGAGGGAAAATCAAGATCGTGTTATCTGAGTTCAGATTCAAATACCAAAGCTGTATAACAATGAGATTGTGCCCCGATGGTGACAAAGGGAGTCAGTGTTGGCCGTTCAAGTTCAAGTTATCTTACCAAATCCGGAAGCGCTACGGTCGGCTGTGCTCTGATTTAGCGCCCTGACCACCGAGCACTCCGCAGGTTCATGCTAAGCGAAGTTAGCGAACTGATGAGTTGGTTATCCCTGCGATTAGTACCGGTGCAAAGGGGTGTACGGGTCTAGAGACGGCCAGGTGACATGTACTTGAAGACGTGAATGATTGTTGGACCTCTTGAGCACTGGTATCATATGCCGTGAATGCTGGCCCTCTGGGGCATGTGTAACGGTCAGAGAGTAGTATGACAACTCCACACAACCTGATGGATATAGATGCCTGGGCCCGAGGTTATGGAAGCGAGAAATTGAAAGACCACTTGGCATGAGTTGGGGAACAAAAAGTGAATGCCAGGAGCGTGGATTGAACACGCGACCTCCAGAACTTCAGTCTGTTGCTCTCCCAGCTGAGCTATCCCGGCTCTATGAAGGACCATTTTGGTACGTTATGGGCCCGTTCAAGACACGCTCCCTATCGCGGAATGCTTATCACGACAGACACAAATTTTGCATATAGCTACTAACTCCCAGTGTTTCTATCAGGAAGGGTCCCAGTGCCGCGGAGTATTCTCCCTGAGCGGGGAACGATTTATGCAGGTAAACGTGATATTATTCCGAGCCTTGCTCAGGCCGGATGCTCGTCAGCTTGTCTAATTTGTGATACTACATCCCAGCGCGCCGTCGAGATGCGTGAAAACGATACATGGAGCCCGTGCGTCGGCATCGGCGTAGTTCAGCAGCTCTCCGCGCAACAGCGAGTGGACGATTACGAGCGACTACCCGGGCCAATCCTCCTCTTCTTTCTCTCAGGTCCCGTAGCGTCGACGGAAGGCCCTGACTGCCGCGACGGCATCCCCTCCCACGAAATCTGATCCTCGAGCCGATCAACTTCTAAGTCCCATGCCGGCGAGAACAAAGCATCTTGCAGGATGTCGAGAAAAGGCTTATAGTCCGCGACATTCTTCGCAAGGGCGCGCTCCTCTCTAGTCGGCGGAATGTTGTCGTGGCGGGATACTTTCCGAAACTGGGGGTTCCTATTATCCTTGGGAAGGATGATTTCGTCCGTAACATGATCCATTGGTGGTGGAGGGGGCAATGGGGGAATGGGGTGGATGCAGATGTTTCCCTGACGCTTGTCGTAATCCAGGACCTTGTAGTGCGCCGCGAACGAACAGAGCAGCTGGTGAACCACCTAGTTGATGGGATCCGCCTTGAACGTCAGCTGTTCTGTAATCACCGTGAGCTTTCCGGTCCGGATCGCGCTTCCCTTTCCCTCGCCGACGTAGTACACGTCGTCGACGATCCTGTAACCATCAAAGATACCCTCTATCCAGGCGGCCGCGCTCAAGCAGTTTGGTGTCAGATAGCGGACAGCATAGTAGAGGAGGACGTAGAAGAACGCTTCGAGGTCGTCGATCAATTCCACGGCCTTCGCAGGATCAGTCGACAGCCCGTAAGACATGAATGCTCAAGTGCCCTGTCGTCCCCAGACAGATCAGATCGATATAACAGAGCCAGAATGCACGTTGACGTACCGGTCTCTCTGCCTGGCGCCCCAGGCGTGGTTCATCGATCTTCTCCGAAAACTCCCAACCAGTCAGCAGTCCGACCCAGCGGAGCACACGCCTGCCGTCCCTGTCCTCGACCTTCAGGTAGAGCAGCAAGTTTCCGGCGCTGATGTCGTGACGAATAATGTCGAGCCTGTACGCCTCCTGATGAGCTGGGGTGGAACACGTCAGCACATGCGATTAATAGCATGTGCACTTCGATCCGGCGTACCCCGTACACACGTGGCGATAGTTAACGAGTCGTCTCAAAGGGCAGCCACCTTGGTGTCCATCGCCGCTGTCAACGTCAGCGTCACCCTAGACATCGGGGAGACCTGTGGGAGAGGGGATTGAAGGTTCCTCGTCATTGTCCGTGCTCTGAGGTTTGTCGCTTCCAGAAGCGGGAAATAGGGTGGCTAAGGAACTGGCGAGAGGGGGCACACTGTGAGACGTAGACTAATGGAGACGAGGTGCAATTCTCGAGCTCCCAATACTTGGGCGTCATCGTCTCCTGCACCGATTCGCCAATGTCACCGCGGCAGAGCAGCGTGGGGATGTGCTCGACGTGCGCCCCGTTCAGTTCGGCGAGGATGTCGCCCTCTGGACGTAAACCGTCGTACTTGATCCGCCATACATCTTTCAGGAAAACGAAGCGATCCGGGCGACGGCTCCGGGCCGTATCGTACTCGAGGGCGATGAAGCCGCGTGTTCCACGACCAGTCAGGCCCTTCGCTACGAATATAGGCCGACAAATGAGGAACAGCCGCTTCTTGTCCCCGTCGGGGACCTCGACTTGGTAAGCAGGGATACCTGTCAACGAGCGTATGCCGGAACGCATCGCGGACGTAGCGGAACGTGAACGATTCTTTGAGCTCGTCGTCTCGGAGGAAGCGGTTTTTCTAGTCGACGTCTCTCGCATGGGCGGCGGCGGTGGACGTCATGCGCTTCCATCGGGCATCCCGCGAATCGAGGCGAACGGCAGTTGGGTCGGCGCCAAGCATTTCGTCGCAGAGAAGCTGCCAGCTGTCGAAGTAGTCTACCGCAGTGGATACGACCGCACCGGAGCGGTCCCAGCGGAGGATACGGTATTTGCGGCCCATGATGACGATCATGAAGAGGAAGAGACGCTGCTGGACACGGAAGATAAGCTCGGCACTGTGGATGAGTTGGCTGCGAATTCGCTTGCGCTTGACCCTATCCATGTTGTAGTGTCATCAAACGGGTCGTGTTGCTTGAACTCGATGGGAACCTCTTGCTTGGCCCATTGAGATCGCCCACGCGAAGTAGTGACACCTTGATCGAAGAGCGCGGCGTCGATCTTCTGTGCCTCTTCCTCAATGACATCGTCCTCATCGATGTTGTCAGCATCCGGACAGGCTTCACAGTGTGACGCCTTGCAACCGGGGACAAGGTCGTGTTGGGCGATTGCGTCAATCTGTGAGCAGTCAGGGGTGTCATCAGCAGGGAGACGGCATAGCTGACCAAAGCGTTGGAGACGTCGAGCTCTTTCATGTTATCTGCATCCCCAAGTGCGCCAAAGGGATTCGCAACCAGCTCGTGTTGTTCGATGTGAGCATAGCGGGGATCGTCAGATTTGGGGAGGAGGATATCGCGGAACTCCTCAACTCGGAATAAGACGAATTCTTTTTCCATGCCGTCAATGATCTAGGACACTGAGCTATGAGGTTGAAGCTTCAGCCGAGGCAGGACACTAGTCAAATGAGTTCGAACGGCGAAGTCCACATAGTGTAGTGGCAAGAAGTAGGAAAAGGGGCGGGCGATAACGTACCTGCGACGAGAACGGTAGTTATTTTGTCTCCGCAATGGCTACGATTTCGTGGCAGCTAATGGACTGGGAGCGATATGGTGGCAATGGAGAAATGCGCAGACGGTTGTCCCAGCTGAAAACCCTTCGGAAACTCCCGTCGCTGGCTTTCGCATATCGGCCACGTAGATCTCACTCGAGATGATGTCATGGCTGTCGAGTGGAACCTGCCAAGTTAGGCGCTCGAGCGAGCAAACCTACAAAACACGGCTCGTCGCCTCCTCCACCACAGATCACGACTCGCAACCCCTGC